GAACTTCTTTTTTAAATACAGAAGTGTAGCTGTAGTTTGATTACTCTAAAGTCTCCAACTCTATCCTCTTAGCTTCCTTTGTTTGTATAAATTCCTAGATCCAGTCTGTGCATACTTAGAGAAAAGATGAGCTGTTGTCATCTTTAACAGTTTATACCTTTCCAAGGTTTGTTTTTTTCACCATGCCCTCTCCTGAATAGAATTATCTCTTACAGATGGTTACATTGTTTCAAAAAGGAGGCAATTTGATTATCATTAAACAGTCTGATTCTCATTAAAATAATATTCCAGTGCCTCATTGATTCTTACTCAGGTAATTTCATTAGCAGTTAATAATGTACTAAAGGACCACACTGGAATAATCGGAGAGGAATCATAAATTCAAATACAAATTTGACTACAACTGAGGCATGACCTGTTATTTTAATCACACTGATGTGTGTAGATCTGACAGCCTCTAATAAAGATATTGAAATTAAAATAAAATCTATTTGAGTTAACTTCTGGAATCTTGGTGATTGAAATGTTTAATTATAAATGTTTGGATTACATTCATGCCAGACATTGGTAACTCTCCCCCTTACAACACATATGACAGAGTCTGCTGTTGGCATCCTTTAAAAAATTATTTTGCATCCTTACATTTCTTCTTCCACTTTGGATCAATCAAATCCCTACCTGACAGCACTGTAATGTTCCAATTTAAGTTCTCTCTTCTGATAAATTATTTGTAATTTTCCATCTTTCTCAACACCATACTTACAAACTGTTTTTGTCCTTGATTGTGAACATAGACTGCTGCTAATGTTTTACCATTTTAAAACCCTTAAAAATATAAACCAACCCTCTTTGTCCTTTAAGATTCAACCAGGCGTAAAGTCCAAAATGCTAGCTAAAACTATACAAGTGCCCCAGCCATTGGCAGAAGCAGGGGCCATATTTTTTCCCCAAATCATCTGTTTCAGTAAAGGAATGTTTAGATCTGGCTTGTGAATTTTTATTTTTTCATTTTCATTTTTATTTTTTTACAAAAAAAGGTAATCTGGGGACACACTGCTTGTAAACATTGAGTAATAATAGACTGTTTTATTCTTTTTCCCATAACATGAAGTGTTACAGCTTTATTCAATGACCCTGATGTAACCTAACCTACCATATAATGTAAAAATACTAAGTCCCCTTTAACTCAGATTGCCTTTTAAATTTAACCCCTGGCCTCATCTTCCTAAACAGAATGTGGCCTGAGTTGCTTGTACTATAAAACAAGCTGTTATTGCCTTGGTATCACTGGTCTACAAATTTAGGGAAATGATCGACCTCCGAGATGAAATGTCCTAATGATTACATATTTTGATTAGATGAATTAGAAAACAGGTGATAAAGGTGCTGGTTGGCTAAAATTTTCAAGATTTTTCACAATCAAGATTTATACACAGGCGCGTATATTTGCCTACAAGGGAGGGAGATGTCTGATGATCATGATGCCTTGTAACTTCTCGATAAAATATGGCAGAACAATGAAAATGGTACCACATGAAAGTGTATTCATTTATCTTCGCTTTGAGACTAAAGATTATTACCTAACTGTAATTTATTGTCCTTTTATTGCAAGGTACATTTGTCTTGGTCAGATCTATGCATCATACAGTTAAATCTGGTGACTTGTGAAAGTGTCATTGCCTAACATTTCCAAGGAACAGTTGCATGCTATTTTCCCTCAGAAGCTAAGATGCCTCAAAACAGGGTAAACCATGCAGGTAACTTCTGCTACATTTGTGGCGAGGTTATATTTGCATCTCAAAAGTCCAGTATGATGGTAGTGGTAAAAAAGGGAATACCACCTGTATCTTGAATGCAAAATAGGGGATCAGGACAAGAGTTGGGCCCCTCATTATTGTTCTATTACATGTGCAACTTATCTGCGTCATTGGCTAAACAAGAAGAAAAGGTCCATGCCTTTCGCAGTCCCATTGGTGTGGAGGGAACCCACCAATCATAGTAGCGACTGCTATTTTTTCATGGTTCCCCCAGTTGCAAAAGGGATCTCAAGAAAAAAGACATGGACTGTGAAATATCCAAACATTCCATTCGCACTGTGTCCTGTACCCCATGGTGAGGACTTGCCAATTCCAGATTCACCAGAATCCTATTCTCTACACTCAGATGATGATAAAGACGATGAGCAGGATGCAGCTGATCTGTGGCCGTAGATGTCAGAGGACCCAAACTTTATCCCACTGTATGCTCCTCCTGCACCACATCTGATTTCACAGAGTGCACTAAACTTAATGACTAGTGTGGCACCATTCTCATTGCTGTATCACATTTTGCAGAAAAGTTATAGAGCATAACTGCACATCCCCCTTGTAAATTTGTATTATTTTGATGCAATTTTGACCTGAAGCTTTATCTTGGAAACTGGAGCCAATTAATATTCAGGACTTAATTTCCCTTTATCAGTGACCCAATTCTGGTAAAATTCAGCTACTTCCATTTCTGAGGCTTTCTCCTTGTAGACCAGTGTATCCTATGCCTATCATCTCTATCAAGAAAACTTAGTAACACTAAAAGAAAAGCAACTAAAAGAAAACTAAAAAGAAAAAAAAATTCCCTTCTAAAGAGTATCACAGTAGGTTTATGTAGAAGAATAAAATACATTTCAAAAACACAAAAGAAACCACCACTAATATAAAAATTGTCTTCACTGTGGGCAAAATTATATACTTTTTCTCTGAGAGACTAAGAAAAAACATACTTATTTAAAAAGTAAAATTATTAAAGGGAAGAATTAAGGTGGGGGACATAAATTGTTAAACCCATCAAGTTTTACAGTTTAGATCTATAAATTAGGAAACCATCCCCATTCCAACTGCCCTTAATTTAAGGCCTCCAACACAGACCAAAAGCAGATTTAGCCACCTCCTGTAGAAGATGTGTGTGAAATAAGATTGGCATTTAAATCTTTAGTTACATAGCTACTCAGTTCAATGATCATATAAATGCAGTGAGGTGGCTTCTATTTTTTTACCTATTTTCTTCGCTTTCTAGAAACATTAAAACGAAGGTTATGACCTGTTTGTGCTTGAGTTTTGGGTTTGGTTTGCGGAGTTTTACAGTTTTTAGTCCTACTTTCTTTCATCAACATCTCCCACTGATCTGAAGAAGACTGTGTGCCATTTTCAGTCACTTCTTCTGTCTGTTCTCACCAAGATACCTCACCTGCTGAGTGCTCAATCCACAGCTCCTCTAAAAGTGCGGGCTCTCGAGTTAAGGTCTTCCCCAAATAGATGATCACTTAGCTACAAACATGTGAAACAGAAAAACGCATCTGTGCCATGTGTCAGCTTCTTGCAGCATGAGTATGATTATCAGTTTCAGCTCTTTTCGTTTATGCAAGGCTTCATAGAGGAGATCTGTAACACCAAGACTTTTTGATTTTCATAAATGATTTCGCCTAGGTCTCTAAGAGAGTGCCACACCTCCTTTTTCTTAAATTGACAATAATGCAGTATTATTTCTGTTGGAGGGGTGCTTTCTTTTGATTTGGTCTATCTTGACTCTCAGATCATCCATTAATTGTTCCAATGTTGGTATTAACATCCATCCATATCTCACCGTTTTGATTTCAAGGAACTCAAGACAGCTTACACAAGTCTCCTCCTCCTCTCAATCTTGTCCTCACAATAACAATCCTGTGACTGGTCCAAAGTCACCCAGTTAGCTCCATGGCCCAGTGGGGACTAGAATCCAGATCTCCTGAGTCCCAGTCTAGCACTCTTAGCCACTACACCACACTGGCTCTCTTATCTTAACATATTAAACATCTTAAATCGAGTAACAATAAATTCAGGTAAACTATCCTGTTTGGTCCCCTCTTTAATCACGCATAAGCAGATCCTAACCCATCTTATTTTTTCTCAACTTCTGTCACCATGGCTTTAGTTCCTCAGTTCTTCCTTTGTAGTTTTTTCCAGTTGTTTTTCTTGTAAAAGACTTAAATTCACAGCACATGAAGCAGTTTCTATGGTGCCTTCTATTTTAGAAATCAATGCATCGATATTGTTCTTTAAAAGGAACAGCAACTCATTCCACAGATCTATCAGGATTGCTTTAAGGGAGCCTAGTTGATTTGTGAATGTTGCTTTAATTTTTCAGTTGTAATTTCCAACTCACCAGCATCCACTGCCATGATGGATTCCATGCCAGCTTTTCTTCTTAAAGTCACAGCCTTTTCCTTTGCTTCAAAATATGTAGCTATACTTGCAATTTTAGCACAAATACAGTGGGAAGTCACAGCCTCCCAAAAAAAACTGAATAAAAATAAATAAAGGGTCGTAGGGCGGATATTTTTCCTGAAAACAAATACGCTCTCCCTGGAGCTCATTTCACCTTCTGGCCATCCTCCTGGTCACCCAGTCAAATCCCCTTTAACTGATTTTAAAAACAAAATTATCCAGAAATACACACTTCTTTAAGTAAGGCTCCAAATTTCAGGTGTCTAAGTTTCTTTCCATGCTGATGAATGGATATACTTCCTTTTTATTATTGTAGATAAATTTATTCTATGAACAGCTGTGGATGAAATGCAGTCAGTTCAAACTCAGAGAGATTTTATGTCCTTTTTCAGGCTTGGAAGAAGGACAAGGATCCTGCTGATCTCCAACTTACTTTGGAAACTCTTAGAAAGTCTTGATGTTTCCTAAGATTTTCCAAAAATCAGTGCTGGGAGATGCCCTACCTTTTTTACGTTTAGCAGGAGATTGTGGGAATCTCAGCAGATTTTTTTAAAACTACATGCTCACCACTGGCAAGCATATATATTGACCACTTAAATAGCACTTAAAGCAGATTTATAGTGTGAACTTTCAAGTAAGATATATTTAAAAGCAGAATGATACTTGCATAAGAACAGTTTGAGAATTAAGTTGTCCCACCAGTTGCAGATCTAATTCAGTGACTGTCAGGCCAAGTTCCAATGAACACTCTGTTTTCTCTCTTACCTGTCTATGAATTGGTCAATTATGACAATATCTCCAGGCTGAATCTCTTCTCTTAATGAACCACAGGCAGTAGTCACGATTAGATGAGTACAACCCTCTTCCTTCAGTGCCCACATATTAGCACGGTAATTTATATTTGTTGGTACCATAGTGTGATGTCTCCCATGCCTATGGAAAGAAAGGGTGGAGGAACTTGTGAAGCCGAAGTACAAGACAGAGACTAACCCAAGGGCAAGCTATGCAGGTAGATGTGTTTGTGTTGCAGTTAGGAATGGGTACACCAGTTCATCCTTTCCAAGCAGATGCAAGTGCAGTGGAATATCAGGGTCAGGCTGGGTCTGGGAAGCCATACCCGGTTCTAGTAAAGCCAGTATGAAGTGTAACAAAAAGCTATTACAGTGGGGAGGAGTCAGACACTGCCTGAATTCCACATGGGACAGTGGGGTGTTGCTCCTCCTTTCCCTCACCCACAGAACCTTTCCCTGAACTACTGGCTTTGAGGTTGGCCTTGTGACCTTGAAGTCACAACTGGGATGGAAAGAACCAGGCTGAGTGAGAAGGCAGAGGGAGGATGTTCCACATCCAACTTATCCCACAGCCATCTAGTGAACATAACGCTGCACCCTTCTTCAATGAAGAGCCTCCAAATGTTGTCCCTTACTCACCTTGATTTCTCAGGTGGCAGAAGTTATGGGGGCCCATCTTACTGCATATAATCTGTGGCTATTTCTCTATGCTAAGTGCCAGATGCAGGCCAAGAGGTTCTTGTTTAATAGCCTGAAGTCCTGAGGGGAGTGTTTTAGTCTCTGAATTCATCTAAACCAAGCGCTTGAGGAAGTCTGTTGGTTGGCTGTTGGTTCAACAACTAACCATTACTGGTTCCTTTTATTGGCATATTGGCTTTGTGAAGTAAAGCTGAAAGTAGCAACACCCAACACAACTTCTAGAACTTGGTAGTTCAAAAGAGAATTGAGAAGACTAAATTAAGAGTCTCTATCAAGCCAATCAAGTATACAACCCTACTAACTGAGTAGCTTCTGACATACCTCATGCAACCCTGCATGTTTTAGCAGGTCTGATTTCATACATTTATAACAAAGGCATCTTAGACACCATCATTTCTAATACAAGGCCAATTCATATACAGTTTGATGACTTCACATACCTGGCTAGAAGCACACAGTCAACATTTTTTATCTTTCCCAAAATCAGAGCATCTGATGGCTGGAGTTAAAAAGCAACAACAAAACACCAAAAAATTAAAAAATGTTTATGCAAGACCATAAATGAGAAAAATAACCTTCTTAAGTTTTTAGATATGATTTAACTGTGCAGAACAGTTTGATGCATGAGTAAGTCCCACCAGGTCTGTCTAAAGACGAACCTACATGGCCACAGCCTCGGCATCTTACCAACTCATTCTTAATGTCTTATGGGGATGGGTTCATTCAAAGTGCAAAGCATTCCTCTGCCTTGGAGGCCAAACCATCATCTGGCAGCAGAAAGGGAACTAGAGCCAATCCTGCCAAGTCCCCATGAATTATGTGTAACAGGAGGGGACTGCCTTGGTCTATCAGGACTGGATACCCTTGAATGAATCTAATTCATAAAACACACACTATCTCAAAGGACATTATGCGTGCCTTCCCAGGTGCCAGTTCACAAATAACAAAGCCTAAATTCATATCCATTGACAGCTATCATGCAATTTGAGTCACCACCAGGAGATCACAATTACACTGGGAAACAAGCACTGCACAGTGTGCACAATCACGGGGGCTATGCCGTAGCAGAACACTCACCCCACTCCACCCATGCTTTCAGCAAATGGCTCGTGAAACACCACCAAAAGTTGTTGTACAACTTTTGAGAAACACACACCTGAAAACCTGCTGGATGGGCAGTTCTTGAGAATGTTGTTCCTTGTTCGCGAGCACCTCTCTAGCACACTAAATGCATCCAAAGAATGACAAGCAAGTGAATACACACCTTTCCATAAGGCGTATCAATGTATTTTTCTGTTCGACATTCTAGTATGTCTGGATCATCCAGGCCAGTCCCTGCAATAATTCCAATCTTCAAGAAAAAGAGAACATATGAGATTAGGAGAGATTCAAAACTCATAAATGATTCCTAAATTTACAGCAAACACAACACCACCATTAGATTGTTGTTCTCAACAAATCCAGCCTGAGCAAGACTGTGGAAACCCAGAAATCCATTTGTGTTACTTCTTTTCAATCAAGATGTTTTTCTCTTTTATCCGAGAAGTTTATAATTATGAGACCTCATCCTTGTTAAAAATTGCATATAAAAAATACAGGACCACCAAGCCATTCCTATCAAACTGAAGTAGCAAAGCCAATGATTTACCCCATTGCCTTTGTGCAGAAAGGGTTGAACATGGCTGAAAGGCTTAGGGGAAAATTTCATTTTGAAAAACTGCCTTCTGGGGCGCAGTTATTTATTTATTTAGAAAATTTCTATGCCGCCCCATTCGCCGAAGCCTCGGGGTGGCTTACAAATAAATCAATTAAAATACAATAAATTAACAATATAAAACAAGTTAACAATATAAAATAAGTTGCCCTGACCAAAAAATAAAATAAATAAATACTATTAACAGTTAAAATGACGCTTAAATAAAAAGGTCTTCGCCTGGCGCTGAAAAACAAATAACAATGGCGCCAGGCGGACCTCTCTGGGGAGCACATTCCATAGACTGGGCGCCACCGCAGAGAAAGCCCTCCTCCGAGTACCTACCCTCCTAATATCCTTCACGGAGGGTTCCCGGAGAAGGGCCTCTCCTGCTGATCTCAGGGGGCGGGCGGGCATATATGGACGCAAGCGCTCCTTCAGCTAACCAGGACCCAAGCCAATATACGAGCACTTCTGAGCTTCAGGTTTTTACTGCCAGCAACTAAGCATTTCAAACTTTCAGAATAGGGTTGAGGTGGAACATGAACAAAATAGCCACTGGTAGATGGGAGAACCCCTGAAGGCTAGCTTGAGACCCCAGGTGCATGAGGTACTATCTTGCTTAAGTGCATTAAAAGATCAAGAATATGGAGAATAATACTGTATAGACTCATGGGACCACATCAGTGGTCTAAGCACAGATTCCACATGTCAGGATTGGGTTCCACAGCTCCAGTCCCCTTGCTTCTTCTTTTTAAAAAGTCCTAATGGCACTGTGGTATAAAAGGGTGAGCATATGGACTCCAATTCCAACGTGGAATTGGATCTTTTAAAAATGTATGTAAAACACCCAATGTTATAAAGTTCTCTTCATATTTATTAGAATTATATCCCACTGCTCAAAGTGGCTTACATCATTCTCTTCTTCCTGCTCTCAGTCTTACCCCAACAACAACCCTGTGAGGTAGGCTGGGCTGAGAGTCTGTGACTGGCCAGTCACCCAGCTGCCTTCATGGACTGCCTGAGCCCCAGACCTGCACTCTTAACCTCTGCATCATGCTGACTCTCAACTGGCTTTCGTGTGACTAACACCAAGGCAAGAGGAACGTGAGCCCTCAGGCTGAAAACAAAAAACATCCAATATGAAGGAGAGGGGTGGACAAGGTGTGGTTCCCCAGATGTACTTTGGCCCCAGTTTACTTCCTCCTTCCAGGTGTCTTCCAGGGCTTTGACAAGATCATCAGCCCTGTTAACAAGAGAATCCCACAAAGCCACTAGAAAACCAGTTTGGCAGAATTTTAAAACACCCTTGATGGGAAAGGTGTCTATTTTTAACTTCCATATCCAAGCAGAAAATATAAAATCAGCAAGCTGTTGCAGAAGCAAACCAGCAGCCCGCCTACCTAGAATCCCATTTCTCCTGAAATGATATGAGTGCATGAGGCAAGAGAGGGCAGGCAATCCTCAAGCAGGAAGCACAAAGGAAGCTTCCGGCCCCGAACTTCACTTCCAAGCCAATTAACAGATAGCAAGTCTCAGCTGATCTCCAGGGTGTCCCTTCCTTCCATAACGTAACACTGAGCTAGATATTCCAATAGCTTGACTCAGCATTACATGCGCTTCATGATTTACTTGGTACTGCAACCTCAGATGGCCTCCTTACAATAAAACTAGTACAATCCAGACACAAAAATGGAAACACCCCAAGAGACCGTAGAAACAGGAGACAAAAACAACAGCAGGGGTTAAAATCTGGATGAAAATATTTGCAAAGCTGCAAAATGGCAAGGCAAATCATCTCTCAGATATTGTTAATACATATTTATGATACAGGATGGTCTGTGCCTGGCATCTAAGAGAGAATGAGGAAGGAGCCAAGCTGCTGGATTTAAGGAAAACATTCCATAATCTGGGCACCACCATAAGAATGGAAAGGCCACATCCCTTGCCACCAGCTGCCTTACTCCCAAGGCAGTTGGGTAAGAGTCTCCAAAGCACTTAATGGAAAAGGAAGCTGGTCAATGCCTTTAGCTGTTTAGCCCAACAATACTCACACAGAACTTAAGAGTTGACCAGCTGTTCCTCCAGGGAGTATGTTTATGGACCACCTTTGAACTGGCACCACATGCAGTACTTTCATGAATTACTACTACTGTTCTCTAACAGATAGGTAAGATGGTGTCTTCCAGATGTTTTGGACTGCAGCATCCATAAGTCCCACCAAGCATGGCCAATGTCAGGACTCATGAATGTTGCAAGGTACTGGGTTGCCTGCCTGTCCTAAAAGATATGGGTCATTAAAGGGTAACCCATGATTGCCCTGCCACGGACAACACCCACCCACAAACTGCATATGGCCCCGATTTACCACCACTCCAGAACATTTCTGAAGCTCTAAGACATAAATATACCTTATACTTTAAATATCACTACCACCACCACCACCACCACATCATGGCATTTTGCTACCACCTGTAGTCAAAGCTCTCTAGGGAGTTCACAATATTTTAAATCACCCCTCCAGATTTCAACCAGGCCTGATCCTGCTTAGCTTTCAAGATTAGGCAGGATCAGGCACTTTTAGGCCATATGGAAGCTACCTCTTAGAACCTGTTTGGGGATTTGCATGCAATGGAAGCAGCTGGGCCAGTGTTCATTTCTGCATGTATTACTTCGCTTGAAGCCCATGTGCTGCAACATAATGGCCCTCTTCTCTCCTATGTAATCACAGGGGAGCTGCATGAATGGCGCAGGAAGGGGGTCCTGACTGCTAGCTGTGTCCCTGCCTCTGCACACCTGACAGAACAGGGTGTACATGTGCAGGCTCTGCAATCAGAAATCTGTATAGGCGCCTAATCCCTGAAGAGGGAGGCTGGCCACTTATGAAGGGGCTAGTTTGGCTGACAAAAACAACTCCCAGCTCAAAGAACAAATAAAGTGGCTCCCAGTAATACACATGATGGATATCTCTGCTATAAGGATCAGTGACACTCATACTCTTCTCAAACTTGACATGAGAAGAATGAGATACACTGATGATAAAACAAAAACAAATACCAGACACATTATTGTGTTGACGAATACTAACAAGGTACAAACACTAACAGTTATAGGCACCTCCGTTTGGACACCACTTTCTTTAGTAATGACAAAAACAGTAACAAAGATTCTCTCCACTTGCAATTCCACTGACTTTAAGACATTCATTTATAAATTGGAAACTTTGCCCCATTGGGCTAAACCTGGGTGGCCGCTGTCATCTGCATCAAGCTGCTAGTTAACCGTTGGGGAAGTAAATAGTTTTTAATATGCTGCCATCTTGTGGCAACAGTATGGTAATGCAGTATGACCAGAGGGGAGAGAGAGACTGCTTCCAATACCAGTAAGGCTGAAGTGGTTTGTATTTCTCTTTATATCTGAAAATTCAAATGCCAAGTCCACAGTGGCTATTAAGAGGCCGAGGTGCTCAGTCCCAAAGCGGCCCTAGTCGACTTTGTTGTTGTTCCGTGTTGTCAAGTCCTCTCTTTCTTATGGCAACCCTATGAATGAAGGCCCCGTGAAATGTTCTCTCAGTTCTTGTAAATTCAAGACTGTGGCTTCTTTTATGGGGTCAGTCCATCTCATACTAGAGCTTCCTTTTTTTCAGCATCTGACTTCCACTAGTTGACCTTGTCAACCAGAGATCAAAAACTGATGCCATAACATTTGTCAAGACCATCCTTTCTCCAAATGTGCTATTAATCTGGAGAACTCTAATCAAGTTGCCATATTCTTCTTGCTATTATTCAGTGACATACATAAAGATGAGTATGATAACTAAGAACTATAAAGAACTTACTACATAAAATTATATATATGTAAAGATTACAAAATCAAGACAAAGTATACCAATACCTACAACACTTTAAGATTTTGCATTTTCATGACAACTGAAATGTCTAAAGTGCTTTTCATGTATTATCTTGATGGTAACATTACCTCCCTGTAAGGTAGGTCAGTATTACTAACCCACAACACCAACAGGAGCCAAGACCGAAACCTGGTGTGCACCAAACACGGCTATCCCCAACTGTTTAATTGCTAGGGATGAGAGATGCTGCAGATGAGCCATTTCTGCTTTTCAATCGATAGCCCATCAATGCTGCATTTCTGGATCGTTCTGTCACATGAAAACCCAGGAATACTAGTTTGTTTATGGATTAAACAACCAAGAGCTAACCCAATGACACACCATGGGCAGCTAACATAATTTCCAGGTACACATGTTCACATGGCCCGGGGCATTCCTGGACTGTTGATTAAAAGCAGAAACGGCTCACACAATCCATTCATCCCCAGTAATGCCTAGCTTAAACAACAAAGGAATTAGTGCTGTTACATGAGAATTGGGCCAGAGGATTGCTTAAGCCAACCTAGGGAATTCATGGCAGCATAAACCGGAGACCTACCAGCTCAGTAACTCTACTGTAACAATCTGCTGTGTGCGCACTTGTAGCTTGTCTTACCTCACTGGTTTCCAAGACACCATTCTGTCTATATTCCTCAGAACAGCATCCCTATCAGCCAGATATATTATAATGCTTTTTGGTTTGCCCATGTGAGAAGACAGGATGAGCACTCTGCGACAAAGAAAAGGACAGAAACCTTTCAGAGCCTCC